CCTTATAATCTTTTGGATGAATTTTGGGGTCTTCCAATATTTAATAAATTTCCTATCAAACCGTGCAAGACTTGCGTATTCTCACACTATTCAATTGAAAGACAATTAAATAGGGGCAACTGTCATACTCCAAATTTGCCCTACTAATTTCTAACATTTTTATTTCTATTTCTAAAAATAATTATTTTTGCTTTATAATTTATATCTTTTTCATGTGTATTGGGGTTTCATTTTGAGATTAGGGTATGGAAATGTCAGTGAAATTAGGAAAGTGAAAGTTTTGTGGAAGGGAAAGATAATGGATTAGGGGAAGTTATTTTTGTGAAAGTGATTTTAGAAGAGAAAAAGAGTTTAAGAATTTTGAAATTGTAAGAAATGATGAGTGGGTTGGTGAGAAATTGTGTTTTAAAGAAGAGAGTGAAAAATGAAATGGTTAATATTTTGAAATTATCGAGAGAGAGAGAGAGAGAGAGAGAGAGAGAGAGAGAGAGAGAGAGAGAGAGAGAGAGAGAGAGAGAGAGAGAGAGAGAGAGAGAGAGAGAGAGAGAGAGAGAGAGAGAGAGAGAGAGAGAGAGAGAGAGAGAGAGAGAGAGAGAGAGAGAGAGAGAGAGAGAGAGAGAGAGAGAGAGACGTTTAGGGTTGCTGTAGTGGGTGGATTACTTGCAACAGTAACCATGTTCATTAGGCGTGACAGACAAATTACTAAATAATCTGTCCAAAGCTGACGTCACACACAAGACTAGTCTTAGGCGTGGCTTATTCTCTCTCTTGCTTTTCAATTTTTTTCAATAAATTCAAGTTTTCCTTTTTCAACACGTTGCCAATTTTTCTTTCTCTTTGATTTTATGTAACAACAAATGCTTTCCTCTTTTTTTACATTGCTTCTAGATTACAGGCGTGGCATCACTCGACAATGACTTCACCAAACTTCTTCAAATCCTCATAATCATCTGAAATAAAATGTAATTTCCTTAACTAATTACATTAAATTAACCATTACTTAATAAAAATATAGGCGAGTTTTGTAGTATTGGGTAAGCTAATTGAACCTATCTCATTCACCAAGTGTGGACTTCTATCTCCATTGATCCAATTGTGGACCCGTATACCATATCAATTACTAACTACATGCTAGACTTTAAGTCAGTATTTTTGGTTTTATATGAATGACTTTGAAATATTAAGTCATCCTTGGTTGTAGGAAGAAATACGTGGCAAATTGTTATCAAGAAAAAAATTACTCAAATATCACATAATTTAAATTTTGGAGTTTACATCTTTGAAAACATAATGGTGATTACAATGAAGATATTGTTTTCAATGGGAAAATGTATTGTTTCCACAGGATCTATCCAAGGATGATGAATATTGCATCTAAACAAGTAGGATTAAAGAAGTAAAATGCAAAGAGAAGGAGAGAGAAGCACTTCTCAGGTTCAAACAAGGCCTTCAAGATGATCATGACATGCTTTTCACATGGAGGGATGGTGAGAAAAATAGATTATTAAAAGTTTAAAACTGTATCTTAATAATAAATACAAAAGATTTAATCAAACGTATCTTAATAATAGTAAACGTAGAACAAATCATCTAACATAAATCAAATCTGTTAAGAAAGATTTACATTACTGTTGAGAATCTAAAATATGTATAAATAAAATCCATATCATAATTTGTATGAAATTAACCTATCAATCTTGTTCTTCTCTTTCTCTTGTTCACGCTCACTCACTCCTCTTCTTTCTGTGTTTATCGTCAACAATCCATCAACTCTTTTCAGGTATTGATTATTCTTCAATCACAATTCTATCTTCTTTCTCTTGTTTGCATTCGACATGTTTAGGGTTCACATAAATTTCCAATTTTGTTTCTGTTCTTCTTTTTCTGCATGTAAAAGGAGGAGGGTATTAACCAACAACCTTTTGTTTTTATAGAAACCCGACAAAGACATTTACCAAGAACCTTTTGTTTTTATAAGGTTTTTGCAAAAACTTTTGTTTTTCTACCAAAACCATTGTTATATTAATGACTAAGGTTTTTTTTTTTTTTTTCATTAAGTGAATCAAATTTGTGTATATGTGGTGCGTGTGCAGAGTAAATATGTTGTAGAGTAAATCTTGAATAGACAAAATAAAACATATTAAACTTAAATATTAATTAAAATAATATTCAAGTAATGAACATACAAAAATAATATGTTTTTATTTTTCTTTTAAATTTAAAAATTTTATAACAAAATGTATTTAATCGTTGATTTTAGTATTTCTATTTTAACAAAATGTACTCACCTCCTCTTATTTTAATTATCTATTTCTATTTTTCAGTTGAAAAAAATTGGACTTTAAGAAATGGATCAACAAGGACATCAAAGATATAGCATCATAAATGGTTCACATCTATACTATGGAGATACAATAGGACCATTTGTACCGTTTAATGTAACTGACAATGTTAACTATGAAATGATGAGTGTTCCTTATGGGCCTCATGGTGGAAATCAACTTAGGACGAGTGTCCCACAAATGTATGCTTATGTTCAAGATGGACACTTTATTCTCAACCACCAAGTCAACCATGTTTCAACAAGAAGATTCATTGAACCTGCTCAAAGACAATATAATATCAGTCTTGGAAGAAATCAATTAAGGATGAGTACACCAGATGTCGTGTCGGGTAATATTTATGTTCAAGATGACCAGTTAATTTTTCAACAAAACAACATAGATCAAGCTTTAATAAGAAATCAACTTAGAATGAGTACACCAGATATCGTGTCAGGTAATATATATGTTCAAGATGGCCATTTGATTTTTCAACAAAACAATATAGACCAATTTTCAATAAGAAATCAACATAGGGTGAGTACATCAGATGTCGTGGCAGGTAATGTTTATGATCAAGATGGCCATTTAATTTTTCAACAAAACAACATAGACCAAGCTTCAATAAGAAATCAACCTAGGGCGAGTACATCAAATATTGTGTCAGGTAATGTTTATGTTCAAGATGACCACTTGATTTTTCAAGAAAACAACGTAAACCAAACTTCAATACAAAATCAACATAGGATGAATACACCAGGTATTGTGTCAGGTAATATTTATAATCAAGATGGCCACTTGATTTTTCAACAAAACAACATAGACCAAGTTTCAATAAGAAATCAACCTAGGGTGAATACACCCGATATTGTATCAGGTAATATTTATGTTCAAGATGATCACTTGATTTTTCAACAAAACAACATAAACCAAACTTCAATAAGAAGAGATATTGAAGCTACCCAAACACGTTCTATTATAAATCTTAAAAGAATTATAATTGAAGATGGAAAGATAAATTCTGAACCTATCACATGTTCCATTTGTCTTATGGGACTTTCAAATAAGTTGGTCGCTATTCAGTTGCCTAATCCTTGCTCACATGTGTATCATGAAGATTGTATTATGAATTGGTTAGATAGATCTAACACATGTCCTTTATGTCGTAGATCTATTTCGTGAAACTTGTCATATATTTGTAAATTTCTTTACATTGTACTATACATAATGACTTAAATTGAGATAAAAGAGATATAGGTTTAAATTGAGATAACGGATAGAAGTAATCTTATTGAAGGTCAACAGCTACTATTTCATTTTATCTCTTTCAATTTCATCTAATCTCTTTCTATATTTCTTTTTCAAAAGATATCTTTCTTTTTAGGTAAAATTTCTCTAAAATGTTTTAAGTTATTTAATTGTAATAAGTTAGTCTTTTATCTTTTTTTCGTTACTATTAGATTTTTTATGTTAACTAACGCCTTCACCGTTGATTTTTTTTTGTTTTATTTTACTCTATTAATTTTATTTTAATTTATTTTTAACTTATAAAATTCATATTAAATCCGTTTTTGATCCAAAAATTATGAAAACATTCCTAACAATATTTTTTCTCATTTTACATTTTGTTTAATTTTTTGAGAATTTTATTTTCTGTTTTACTATTTTTCTTTAATTTCTTCCTTTTGCGTGCATTTTAATTAATTTAAAAATACTTTTATGTACTAAAAAATTCTGAAAATTTTATTATATGATTCAATAATGGTGTCTGACCTATGTTAAATAACATATCAATATCATTAGTGTCACTTCAACTTTTTTAGAAAGGAGTTTGGGAAAAAAAGTCGAAGGTGCAGACGTTAATTAACATAAAAGATTCATATGTTGTAAAAAAAAACATAAAAGACTGATTTGTTACAGTTAAATAACTTAAAGGACCTTAGAGGTAATTTTGCCCTTTTTTTTTTTATGTTTAGGTTTTAAATTTTCTATTTTCCAATACACCTATTTAACACAATGAGAGGAGAATAAATTGTGAGGGAATGATGAGAAAGTTGATCATATGTTGATTTTGTGAGAGAGATATAATAAATAAATAAATGACATCTTGAAAATATGTCAAGAGAATTAGAGATATCCAAACGTCATTACCAACAGGTATTACATTTAAACAACACTTCATTTGATTTCAAAAAATGACTTAATTGTATAACTATTTTGATCAATTCAATTTAAAAAGTCAATAAATATCATGTGTTTAAATTAATCACACCACCTTGTTTTCATAATTAGTTAACTTGAAAGATGTAAATGTCATCCATGGAAAAAATAACCAGCTAGGTTTTACCAAACTTTGAGCTCAAGTTCAATGTCATATGTCACTACACAAACTGTACCAGTATACCTACAGGATTGGAGCGACATTAAACAAGGCAAGGCAGAAAGAGCTCATTGCTAAGTAACAAGGATGAGTTCATTATTGCATACTTTCCAAACATACATACAGCACTACTACAACCATCAAACATGTGGAGTGCATGAATTCAATAACATAATCTAACCAGAAATTCATTCATTGTTAGATTCAAATTCACTATACTGTACATTAGCAACAAAATAACTAGTAATCTAACAAAAAAGTGTACCCAAAAATGATCCAATTCCAATATCAACCTGCATTCATTCTCTCGAACACGATCCTTGCAATTCCTTGTAAATCAATTCAAGCTGCTCTTCAACTAACTCGGCGCGCTGGATAAACACTCTAGTCTCTTGAACTCTCAACCTCTTCCATCTTCTATCCAACTCTAACCTCTCTGATTCCCCAACCAACTTCATTCCTCTATTCAACACATTCAAACCCATTTCATCAAAACGAAACATTTCCCTCAAACAAATACCAATCTTTTCACCCTTACTTCTCACTTTTGCCGATCCCTTATCAACAACAGGCTTGGATTTGTAATCAGATAGAGATTTTGAGGAGTCTGCGGGGGTTTGTTTGCGATTGGAAGGTGGAATTGGTTGTGGGAGAGGATTGGTAGATGATTGGGCGGAGGATGAGGGTTTTGGGGGAAAGAGTTTTTTTTGGATTTTTCGTTCTTGTGCTATTTGAGAATCGCGTTTCATGTTTGCTGAGTTTTGAGATTAGGGATTTTGAGTAGGAATGTGAGTGTGTGTGTGTGAGCGATTGTACATTATAATAGAGACACGGTACAATAAAAAAAGTTGCACAAGAATAAAATATGATAGAGGAAAAATATCATGGATTTTGATGGAGAAGTTTTTTTAATGTCCATTGTCACTTATATCTCCCATCTCATATATTTTGATGATGATAAAAATATCTTTAGTATATTTATCTTTTAAAAATTATAATTTGTGTAAAAAAAATTACTCTCAAGAACGGTTAAACACAAAAAATTTGGTTTTTATTTTAAAATATTTGATACGAAAATTTGTGTGAGAGGGAAAATTTATGTTTTTTTATCTGTTTTTTTAAAAATCGGTATGAGTTTATACTGGCTTTTTTTAAATTTTGTATGAGTTTTTATTGGTTTTTTAAAAAAATCTGGTATTTTATTGCATATTTATTGGAATATTTGGAAATTATCCGTTTTTTGTTGTAGTTTTATCATTTTTTTTTAAATCCGATAAAATTCTAGGAAGCAATTGTCGTATTATCGAAGGTTTCAAAATGTTCGATACATTTATACCAGATAGTTCAAAACATCTTGTAAACATTGAAAAGTATAGATTTTTGTAAATATTCAGTGTATCAAATTTTTTGTAGACTGTTAAAAATTCGGTAGTTCAAAATGTTTCACTGAAGAAGTTGTTACCCTAGATTTTGGTTACGGACCGTGAACTGGCATTGAGGAATGCTTTGGATGTTATATTTCCAAACTCAATTCGTTTGCTGTGTCTATTCCATATTACAAAAATGTTAGTATGAAGTTGTAATACGGTGAGAGAATTGAATTTTTTGGTTTTATCCAAATGTGCGGATAGCAAGAGTCGCCACCGACTTTTCTTTTATCCAATATTTAGAAAATATGAAAAGAACCAGAAAGATCTTTGATAGATTTTGAGTTCGGGAGGTAAGTTATGAAAAGGGAAGATATTAGCACCCTTTTCATCAGTAGTTATATGCGGACTTTTAATCGTTAGCTCACTTTTGAAAATTTACTTTTTTGTGTATGTGTTTTGAAAAATATTTTTGAAAAGCTAACTTTGTAATGATTCTTGTATCAATCCTTAAGAACGCGTACAAAGTGTTTTAGAAAATATTTTGAAAGTCATGTGTCAAAATGTTTTTTTCGAAAAGATTCTGAGCGAGCGATTAACAGTCTTACCCACTCAATGTCGTTCTTGTTATTTTCCTTCTCCTTTAGAGATAGTGCTATATGTACCATTAGTTGATAGGTAGCCCTATCTATTGAATGTGAAAGGACGGACGGAGGATCATCGTATGGTCATCGAAGGCAACATATAGAGATACTTTAGCAATTGATCGGAGGGACTAGATCATTTTTTTGGCAACATCGAAGGGTCATCGAGGGACTGTGATCTTTATTCGAAGGGACTTTGTTAAAGTATCCCTATTTTCGAGGGACATGACCATGTTTCCGAAGGCAACAAGGAGGTTACCCTAGAGATGCGAGTGTGAATAGTATATTCAATTCAGTTATTTATCTTGTATTAGGGTTTACTATTGGTTGTTTTTAGATCTTGCCATACACACCTAATTACTAACAACATAAAATATAGCAGAAATATAAATGTGCCGAAAGTAAAATTCCTACGCTATTACATGGCTTCGTGGCAGTTACGTAATGGATGAGTGCGAGAATTTAAACCTATAACTATTACAACCTCGGAGCAGATGCAAAATAGAAAAAAATGCGGGAAGTAAACCTAAGTTATTACAATACGAATAACGCGACATATACATTTATCTAAGAATTTTAAATAGAAAAGAAAAAAAGGTTTTAAAAAAGAGGAGAAAAATATTTTGGCATTTTTTTAGAAAATAATTTTAAATGATAAGAAATAATTAATAAAACCTAAAATCTCTAATTGATTTTAATATTTTAAAAAAAGGTTTAATTACTTTAATTAATTAATTAATAAAAAGCCAAATTTAAATTGTTAAAAAAACTAGCCCTAATTTAATTATTATTAGAAAATTATTAGGTTAAATAATTAGGGTTTAATTAAAAGAAAAAGAAAATAAGTGAAAAAAAAAGAAAATAGGGTTAGTGGTAAAAAGAAGAAAAAAATAATGTATGGGGTGAGTGTTAAACTTACGCCCTTCAGCACTCTCCACAAGCAGCTTACCACCAGGCCAAGCGCTGGTTGGTGTTAGAAACACAGGCGCGTTACATAATATATTACACCTGCAGAAACTGGAAAATAATAAGGAAAAATTAGCAAAAGGCATGGATCGAATCACGCCCTTGTGTACCAATGCCTTATCGCGCGCGTCCTTGCCAATGGGGTGGCTGTTTCATAATTATATATAATCAATCAAAACAAATATAATATAAAACAAATCAGAGGGGACCAGAAAAGCGCCAGAGCCCTAGCTCCTGTCGTCTTCTCTGGTGAGACGTTTCTTTAAACTTGTAAAATAACACGCGTTAATGCTTCAATAAGACCTTATCCCCCTAATTTGAGGGCTATGGATTCAACAGTGGCCTTAGAATTGGCTGAATCATCCTGTACAAAGAGATATCAAGAAAATAATGCAAAACAGTGTGATTATGGCAATGGAGTATTCTGGCGTTATGGGACTTTGGAAGTTCATCAAATTTGATCAAAGTGGCTCACTTAAACATCATTGATCATTAAGTGTTATATTGAGAATTCGTAAATGGATGATATACTTGACAAAAAGCAAATGCAACTTGTTGTTGAGAGGCTTTGGTTCTACCAATCCTCTAATGAGTTCCAAATGCAAGTTTCAAGATGGTCATCTAACTAACTACTAATTCCTAACAATTGACTTTATTTTTTATGCTTTTATTTTATGCTTTTGCTTTATGTACCATTTACTTTACCATTTACGTTTGATGCTATTTTTATATTTTCTCACTTGAGCCTTTATCTTCATGTCATTTTATTTTGCTCATTTGAGCTTTTCATTTCTTTTTAAAGATACCTAATAATCAACTTGAACCCTAAAAAATCTTTAATGTTACTTGGACTACTTGGTTACTATTCTTAGCATTATGGAGTGGTGGACTTCTTGGACTTAGGATTAGAAGTTGTGGCCTACCTTGAGACCTTGTGACCTTGATTGTTATCTTGTCTGGAGTTCTTGAGGTTTATCCCAAGACATTGGGTTGTTTATTTTTTTTGTGTGCAGGTTATTGTGATTACATGCTTAGTCTGTGATCTGGAATTCACCTGTATACATATGTTACTCTGCCCAATTTTTGTGAAGACTTAATGCAATTAGAGCTTGATTTTCTTAATAGGTTTATCATCTTAGCTTGTTTGGTTTCAAATCCAAAGGATGGGAATTCTATATTGACTTATTGTGTCAAATATTGGCTTCTTATTAGTTAGATGGTTCTTTTTCCCTAGATTTTACCTTATGCTTTAGGATAGTCTCTTCGTCTCCTCCCATCTTCTTTAATTTCAAAAATCTTCTCCCTCCTTTTGAAAACTCTTCTTGTTTTAAAACTTGAACCACTTTCATAATAAACTTGGACTTATGTCCATGCATTTTCAAAAATTATTTCTTAATCAAATTTCAATCAACTTAACAATACTTTGACATTTTTGTGAGAATACTAAAAGTTAATAAATCTCATTCAAACTATTTTTCCATTTTGGATTTTATCTTTAAAAACTTTTCTCAAAAGATTAGACTCTTGTCAATCCTTGTAGTGATGCAAACAACTATACTTCTACAATATGTAGTGAAGTGAAATATTTTCCACTTGGGTGTTGAGTGACACATTTTTTATTTTGAAATCCAAGCCATATCCTCCACTTTAAGATGACGCAATTTATCCTTTCTCATAATTGTGGGTAGTAAGTATGTTTTCAACACGGACAATGACAATGATGTCTTATCTCTTAAAATTAAGCAACACACTTGTGTTTCTAAAATCTCTAAAAGAGGAACTATGTATACCCTGATCCTCTATTGCACAGAAGGTGGTACATAGGCACTAAAGGTTCGCAACCGCGGCGAGTACAAAAATTATAAAAAATATACTTCTTTCCTCACCACCACAATCTATTTTAATACAACATTTTATAGCCAAAACATACAGATTTTACAAAGAGGTTCCTGCGGAGTACCGTAGATGTTTAGGGTGCTAATACCTTCCCTTTGCATAATTAATCCCCTTACCTAGAATCTTTCCCCCCTATTTTGGGTTATTCGCTCTTTTCCCATTCCTTTGGAAACAATAAAGCACAGTGGCAATTTTTATTTTGATTTGTGCGAGTCAAGTCAATCCAATGGCTTAGTCTCAACATTTCTACCGCTATAGAAAAAATGGCGACTTCACTGGGGAAAGGTTGACCTCTTGTTGGTCCATCCCTAAGTGGGTTGAGCCTATCTTTGTTTATATTTGTATATGTGCTAAGTGTTTGTTGTATATTATGTGTTGCATATATGTTTGTTTGGATTTTCCTGGTTTTCAGGGTGCTTGGTGATTTCTCATAAGTCCTATACCCAGACTTGGAAAAGCTTAAGATAGGACGGGCGATATAGTCATGTTAACTTTGAGGGAGTAATCCAAAAAAAGGAGACATGAGATCCCCCACTCAGTGGAGGCCCCTTTGACTGTAGTGTCGTTTACCATGTAATCGAGAAGACGTACTGCTTTCGACCTGGGAGCCTGCTGAAACTGAGGACCGTAGAATACCTAACCCATCTTGGTCTTTTAGGTGTAGTGAGGAAGCTATGACGGATTAATCCTGTAGTATTTGTCACGCGATACTACGCCCGGACGAGTTTTTCTTGAAAATATTACTAATTACCAAGTTAATCGGGAAGTTGGTAATATCCAAAGGAAGGATGTAGACTCTGGGAACCTCTTGAACCTTGTTCGACAGGTGATAACTTTTAGACCATATCTTATGGGTAGTACCTTCGACCTCATGCT